TTTCTGGGTGGACAGGCATTTACCTCCACATGCCCACTCCTCACTGACAGTGGCAAGCGTGTATATAGGGAGGGAGCAGGGAGAGTCCAGGAGAGAACGCCCCAAAAGAGAAGTGATAAAGCCCTTGCTCTAACACACCAACAGAAGCATGGGTGGGTGACTAAGCTACCCCAGACATTAGCCACTCTGCTGAGCGCTTGACTCCCCACAGCCTCCGGAAAATGGCCCCAAGATTATCCCCATTTTACACAAGAGGAAACAAAAGTTCCAGGTGGGAGGCAACCTGCTGGGTCATTTAGCTGGTATGTGGCCCAGTGGGGACTCCAGCCCCACACTGCCCATCCTGACCACTATCCTCTGGCCACCGTGTGCCTCAGCTAAGGTCAAAGCAAACAGCCTGCCCCAGACCACCCTAAAGACATGAGCTCCACCCCAGTCCTTCCTTGCTCACCATTCAGCCTCAGGCCGAGCTTATAGCAAATATGCGTGGAAGGGACAAATGAATAAAGCCTTCCAAATCCTGCAGTGAAGTGCCTTTCCTAGTCCAATCAGCCAACTTCCAAGACCTTCTGGAAAGAGATGAGCCGTAGAGTCCAAGCTACGCTTGGGAAAGAAGAGTCACCAGACATGGTTCTGGGATCTTAGCAGAGGACGGCGTGTGCTTCTCCCTTGCTTGTGCCCAGAGGGTCATGGCCATGGCGGGCAGACGGCCTGCTCATGTTTTTCCCCTCCTGCTCTCCTCCAGACTGCTTATGCTCTTGCTGCGGCAGGTCCTAGCCGGTCTCTTATGACGTGGACTCCTGTTCCTGGGGCTGCTATGTCATGGCTGCAGACAATGCCTAACTTCTAGCCACTTTACTGGATGAAAACGGGTCTCCAGCTGGCTGTCACTCCGAGAGGCCATGGGCACCACTCCAGATGGGCCCAGATAACTACATTCTAGCCCTTCCTGTGACTTCTTGTGGGGCAGAACACCGACTATTTTCTCACATCAAGGCCCTCACCTCCTCGCCCCATTCTTGTGTTAGCAGTTTGAAAGGAAGCAGGTAAAGTCATCCCCAAGCAGCCGGACAGGCTTGGAGGACTGGGCCCACCCAGTCTGGAGCCACTGGGAGAGGGAGACGGGCCCCTAGGGACACACGCTGAAAGGAGAAGACCTCCCCGAGGAAAGGATTTGGTCAGGAAGGACTTTGGATAACTCAGTTCTTAGGAAATTAAGTAGCAAAGAGCAGAGTCCTGTTTGGCCTCCATGTACAGTCTCAGAAGTCAGGAACAAGATTGAAAGGGTCACGATCAATTCTGGAGCCTCTGACACCACCCACGTTGACCAGCCTGGCTTGCTCTCTGTATCAGGAGGCTGTCAAGTTTTCAATCACTCAACAAACAGGCACTAAGTAGATACTGTGGATACCCAGTGACCCAGAGAGATGATAGGCAGAATGGGTACCTACCACCCTCTGGATGGGAACCCCAGGGACAGAATGGGTACCTTTCAGCCTTCACTCCAGTGTGCACCTGCTGCCTCCCAGCCTTCTCGAAGGCACCCAGCCTCTCAACCTTGGTCTGGCTCATCCTGCTAAGCCTGGGGTGCCTGTTCTGCGCCAGACCTTCAGCCACAGGAGCAACAAGGCCTACGATTAGGGTGACAGCCGCCGGGCCCTCCAGGGTGGGTGGGGAACGACTGTGGCATGCAGTCAGATGATGAACTGTAGCCAGGGTGCCCGGCGGGGCTCACCTGCTGCTGGGGGGCTTTGCCGATGTTGACTCGTGATGCCCCAGCCAATGGTTCCCACCTGGCCTGACATGAGTAGCGTGGAAGTTTCTCTGCTCTCAGCCCCAGCTGCCTTTTGGGGGTGAGGACGGTGTTGGGCACACGCCGGTCTGTCCAAGGGCGCTTTCCATGTAGGGCTCGACTCGAACTAAAGGAAGGCGAACAGATTGGGAGGAAACGTAACAGGGTTCTCTGTGGAGTAAGGCAGATGTGTGCACATAAACACACCTGTTCCGGGGAGCACAAGGCGGTGAAGAGCTGAGCAAGGTAACTAGAACAAGACGGAAGATGCTATTATGTCAGTCACAGAAAGCAAAATCGTTGGCAAATCAGCCACCTCTCTGGGCCAAAGCATTCTGTCGGAAAGAAAGGTTTCCCAGGGGCGTGCACATGAGCGCGCCTTAGAGAAGCAGCCTGGGGCTTTGAGGCTGCAGCTAGTGGCTGGGGCTGTGGGGACTTCATCCCCTGGGCACACTTGACAACATCTGGAGGTATTTTTGGTTGTCTCGTTGGGAGAGGTGTTGCTGGCATCGAGTGGGTAGAAGCCAGGGCACTGCTAAACATCCTGCAATGTGTGGGACGGCATCTCCTCCAGCAATCTGTGGCTTCCACGTCTCACCACCAGCGTGGAAGGCGAGAAGCCCTGTGCCAGAGGAGCAGGGCTCAGACCTGCATTTTACGCAGTGTGGGACCTTGGGAGAGCCACGTACTTCCTCATCTGAGAAATGGGCACAGTAAGACCTGAGCTGCTCGTCACACAACTTCATGAGACTCAATCCCCAATGGTCCGGGAAAGCTTTTTCACACTGCAAAGGGCTCTTTCCTGAGCTTTTCTTAGTTTGAAAACTGCAGGTGACTAAAGCATCTGACATGGTCACTGGCATATAGTAGGTGCTCAATAAATTAGAGAAAATCATCAGTTAAAACAGAAAAGGCCCATTTCGCCTCTCTGTCCTATGTCCTCCCTATCTCAAGGGCCATCTTTTTTTTTTTTCTTTCTTTTTCTTTTTGCCTATCTATTCTATTAAATTCTCTACCGGTAGAGGGTAGTGGTGTTAGCAGAGGCCGCATGGAAAGCACCTTTGAATGATCAGGGATAGGAATCACCATATACCCTGACGATGGAAGACACGAGACTGGGAAGTTTTGCCAAATCAAGGGAAGGCCCCAGTCCCATGCAGGAGTCCTGTACTTTCCACTCGCGTGGGGCAAGATCCAGGTGGCAGCTGCCCCAGGGTCTCAGCCCTCAGCTTCCTCTGCTCACTGGAGGTCAGCCCACCCAAGGAGCTGTGCAAGTTGTTGGCATTCAGCCTACAGAAGCTGGACCCAGAGTGGGCTACTTGGTGGTGCTGCTGGTGGTGTCGAGAGGGCCGTTTCCTCCGTGCTCCTCTGGGAGCCCCTCTGATGTTACCAGCCCTGTGGAAGCTGCCATGTGGGGACCAAGGGCACGATACACCCATTAAATTGCCATCCATCTGAGGATGCCAGATGTACCCTTGAGATCTGATGAGAGAATGCGTCATGGTGTGTGTGCAAATGCTGGAACAGAGGGCAGATGTAGTAAAGACTGTGAAACCCAGAGGCAGAGCAGAGTGGTCTGGAGCTTGGGCAGAGGCTTGAAGCTTAGTGCTTCAAGATCCTTAGCAATCTTTGCACTACTGTCCTGTCCCAGGCCTCTCAGGGCTGGAGGGGTCAGGTGCCATCTTTTCCAAACCTCTAAAGGGCATGGGGATACAGGCCAGAGGGGAGGTGCCCTCCCTCGGTAGCCAGAGCTCCTCCCACTACACAACATTGCTTCCTTGTGGTCTCCGGCACCCTTGTTTCTACGAACAAAGTGGGAACACCCCGTCTTGGCACCTGGGGAAACAGGCAGAAAGGCAGGCCTGGCGCCCCGCTTCAGTGACTTAGTGCTTCTAATCTGGACCCTCCCACATGTTAGGGCTGGGGAGGAACTGGCCCTGCTCTGGGTCAGAAGAGGGGAAGGGGATACAGCAGGCCAGCTTCTCTGGGAGGGAGGGCAGAAGAAGCCTTTGGGGAGAACTCTTAGGAGCTGGTCCCTTCCCTAAGGCCTCCTCCCTTGTCCCCAGAGGGGTCCACTCTCCCCACCAAGGGTGATCTTTTTCCCTGACTGCCATTTGCCCACTTGTGTCTCATACTGTCAAGGTGACGGCCCTGAGCAGAGGGGACACCCTCCACCGTGTGGTTTACAACTTCCCTTTCCTTCCCCTTCAGGACAAGCACGTGCCACAATGCCAGCACTACCCAGGAAATATTTAATCCTCAGAAAAGCTCAAGGAGGTTGGTCAGGGCCCCCTGCCCTCCCCACCCCCCCACACTTGAAGCTAGTCTCAGGATGGAGAGAGGAGCCCCTGGGAAGCAGGCTCACCCTTCCTTTCCTCCCCCACTGCCAGAGGCCAGGTTCTTCCCCCACAACCCCACCACACCATCCCACCTCCTGGTTCACTTCTGTGGCCCCAGTGACCTCCACACATAGGCCCCTCCTCCAGGTGCTGAGGATGCCCCAGGGTTTTGCAGAAGGAAAGACACAAAGACAAGTTTGGTTCAGAAGAGGCTGGAAGAGGCCGCCTGGTGTTGCTTCCACTGGGCCATGTGGCCCCTCGGCTCTCTGGTGGCTGTGATCCCCCAGCTGTAGGCTCGCAGAGCCTGCAGTCTGACAATTTCTGTTGTCCACTCAAGAAATTTCTCCTCAACTCGTAATCTCAGGAAACAAACTGAGGGTTGCTGGGGGTAGGGAAGGATGGGGGTGGCTGGGTGATGGACATTGGGGAGGGTATGTGTTATGGTGAGTGCTGTGAATTGTATAGGACTGATGGATCACAGACCTGTACCCCTGAAACAAATAATACATTATATGTTAATTTAAAAAATAAAAAAAATAAAGAAATCTCTCCTCTGACCCCTCTGGTCACACAAGTGGGGAGGGGTGGTGGGTGACTTTAGGCTGCTCTCCTTGGCCTGGCGTTGTGGCAATTACACCAGGCCTCTTTGGGGAAGTGAAGTCTTCTAGATCCAGCCTGACTTTTGTCAGGAGGCAAAGGCTGGTCTTCGGCTGAAATGTAACTAGAGAAGGCACAAAAGTCCTGGCTGGTGAAGCGGCCTGATGGCCATCTTGGGAGGAAGCGGGAACGGAGGTGGGAAAGGACAAAGGCCCTTGTCTGCAGGGCTTAATCTCCCATACCACACAAACCTCCCACCCTCAGCCAAGCTCTATCTCCCTGTCCTGGGCTGCCAACCAAGGCACTTTATTAAAGGGAGGGAGCAGCCTCAGGCAAAGACACAAGAAGCAGCCCCATATGTGTTTGCAGTGGGTGACAGCCAAGGAGGTCCAGACCGCTGGAGTGGAGTCTGCTGAGATGGTGGGAGGGAGGGGAAGGAGACCTCAGTGTGAGGGCTCTCAGAACGGCAGGGTCAGATTCTGCCCCTGGCTGAGGTGAGGCTCGGCCCTCATTTCATTCCAGGTCTGGTACAGGAGCCTGCAGAAACCGGGCCAGGAAGGCCATAGCAGCCGGAGCCCTAAGCTGTCCTTGCTGCACCTTCTACCTTGAGTGCCGAGCCTAGGTCAAGACTGGCTCCCTGGCCCAGAGTCCCATCCGTTCTCTTCCTTTATATCCCACCAAACCTCTTGGGGGATCAGGAGCACCAGGAAGCCCAGCGAAGGAGAAGTCGGGGAGCTGGGGCTGCCCTGGAGACCCCATCACATTAGGCATGAAGACACGGGCTCACCCCATCTGGGGACCTGCAGGGCAAGGCTGGCCCAGTGGAGGGAGGGGGTCTGGCATAAAGGAGAGCAGACACGAGTCAAGCTTCCACTTCATGTAAACAAGAAGGAGTGTCCCCCGCCTGGCCAGCGACAGTCTTGCAGGGGTGTGCAGTCGTCTTGAGATGCTGCCGACTCTCACGTCTTGGATCGAGGGTCCCTGAGGCCAGGATGGAGGCTGTTGGGCAGGAAGCAAGTGAGGGTCCGGAGTGCAAACTGGTGCAGGGCTTGACCTGAATTCTCCACAGGGCAGGGCCGGGGGGCACACATAGGTCCTCCCCACCGCTGGCCCACAGCTCAGGAAATCACACAATTTCTGGCCTTGGCGGGACTGGCACTTGTTTTACCTGCAGAGACAACTGACACAGGCAAGGAAGACGTAAGTGAAGTGCTCAGCAGACTCGCCTCTCCCCGCTCTCCTGTGTTCTGCCCACACCTCAGATTTAGGGGCTGGGCTCACGGTCTCCCCCGCTAGCTGCTGATCTAGGGTCAGGAGGGCCCCCAGGAAAGCAAGAAGAAATGTTCTCCCTGTCTCGTCCTCTCTGCAAGACAGTCACTGTTTAGGGTACCAAGGGATCTGCTGCCTCCTGACCTCAGCAGCATCAGCAGGGAAGGATCCAGAACCCCAATCTACAACTATGATCAATGACTTAAAAAGTCTTTCCAAGAGGTGGCTTCCCAGTAGCCCAGACTGTGTGCAGCTGCCCTCACCGCTTACCAAGCACAACAGATATTCTCAGCTAATCCCCAGGGCAGCGGATGCACCGTGAGATGGTGCCACCAGCCCTGCTGCACAGCTGAGGGCAGCAGGCCCACCGGCTCCCTGAGCCTGTCAACACCAGCACCAGCCTTGGCTCCTTCCCCAACACAGGGACCCGGGGAAGGGGTCACCTGGGTCAGGAGGCTGATGGTGAGCCAGGCAGTGTGGCTCAGACGACACGCTTATGGGGGTGGTTTTAAGACAGAGGAGGGAGGGAGCAAGCTTCATGGAGGGGAAAGGTTGGGGAGAAAAAGCTGTTCTCCAGGCCAGAGGAGCACGCTTCCCCTCTTCCCAGGCCCCTTCCATCCATTCCCATCCTTTCAGCCCCAAGTGGAGGCCAGTGGCTTCTTTGGCTGGATTTCTGCTCCGGGAGCTGCAGAGGGGAGCCAGGTGCCAGCCACTGAGCTCCTTCCTGCCAGCCCCTCTCCGCACAAGGGTCACCTCCCTGGCGCCCACACCCTTTCCCACATGACTCCAGCTGCCAGTTTAATTAATGCGGCCACTGCCTCCTCTCCTGGACCACCAGTAAGGGAGACACTGAACAGGCTCCAGTGGAGGTCTCCCCACCCCCCGCAAGCTCTGCTCGCCACCACCTTGTCTGGGCAGACTGAACTCACTCGGAATACGAGCCCAGCTAGGCCTCCTTGGAGGCCAAGTTTGATGCTTGTGAGGCTTAGAGAAGGTGGGAGGAAGGTGGATGTGCCACGCCCCCTCCCTCGAGAGCTCCAAGGGTCAAGGAACCTGGGTCGCCTTGCGGGGAGGGCGAGGGTGGGGGCGGGCTGCCTCTGATGCAGCTCTGCTGGGGACTGTGCTGTCCCACAGCCCCCTCACAACTACCACGGACACAGCCATCCCCAGTGTCTCTCCTTAGCGGCTTCTTTTATTTGCTTGGCCTCCTGAGCAGATGTGGCGTTCCTCCCCGGAGGCGGCAGCATTCTGGAGGCAGGGAAGCAGATCAATTTCTGCAACCCGAGGCAGGGGAAGGAGTGCGGCTCCAGGGTGGGAAGAGTGGGTCTGCATCCTGAGCCTGCGCTGCGCCCCGGCTCCTGTCCCCCTGCCCGGGGAAGTTGGGGGAGGCGGGGGTGAGAGCCCACAGGTTTGCCAGGTTGCGCCCCCCACTCTTTCCATCCGGCCAGGAAAGCCTGAGGAGACTGGACTCAGGATTCATCTCTGTGCCTCCGACGGAGAGATGGTTTGAGGACAAATTCTTTGTGTGCCATCATTCCCTCCGTGCGCGCTGACTGCGAGTCTAGCGTGTGTAGGTGTTTGGCAGGACTGAGGAGAATCAGACCTGCTCAGGTTAACAGGGAAGAATACATAAAAATGGCTTTTCTTTTCTTTTCTTTTCTTTCTTTTTCTTCTCCTCCTCCTCCTCCTCCCCCTCCTCCTCCTCCTCCTTCTTCTTCTTCTTCTTCTTCTTCTTCTTCTTCTTTTTTTTTTAACAAAGTATGGGCAGCCCAGGGAAGATATGAGGAAAGGCCAAACCTCAAAGGGAGCTAACGCTGAAGTGAGACCCCGTGTCGTTGGGGAGGTCGCCCGTAGAGGTGCCTGGGGCGTCAGGGCAAGGACACCGATCGGGATGCCAGATTCGGACCATGGGCTCTACAGCCCCAAGGGTTTCAGGACTTCATGTTACCCTTTTCTGGAAGATTCTTCCTCTGGATGGCTACAGTGTTCTCGCTCCCTTCACTCAAGTTGCTATTCAAATGGCCCTTTGTCCCTTCATCAGACAGGCCTTCCTGATCACCCTTTATCAAAGGGTCATTGCCCGCCCTGCCCTTCTGTTTCCAGCCTGGTATTCACTCTGTAAGAGCAGGGGCTTTGCTTGTTTTGTTTGCTGTTGTACCAGGAACTTAGAACAGTGCCTGGCACAGGGCAAACAGTGCACAGATATTTCTTGAGTGAAATGGCTGCCCAGGCAGTGGTAAGCCACTCACAGGTTCGTACCAATCCTCACAACAGCAGCAGCAGCCATAGGTCTCAACTGGGCGATGTACACGCCCTCACTCACCTGGATGGTGAGGAAAGCCCTGGCGAGGCCCAAGGGAAACCGGAAGGGAAGAGGGATCATGATGTATGACGGTGAGAATAAGGACGCTGTCCTCTTTTCTAGAACTGGGTGGGATCCGTTCCCTTGAAGGATGCTCACTCGACTCCCCTCACCTTGCTGTGCGGTCGGGACCCTGACTGGTAATAGTGCTTGGCTTTAGCAAGTCAGACTCCAAACACCAGCTAGGGCACGACCCGGGACGCGCAGGAGTGGCACTGAATTCTGAAACTCTGTCTTGACAAGACAGCTCTTGAGTAGACCTATCCTGGAACTGGAGGCCCACAGGTCTCCCTAGCAAGCTCTGAACCCCAGGAGCACTTCCCCAACCTTCCATCCCAGACAGGGGCCCAGATTTCCAAGAGAGATTTGAGAAATCCAGCCCCCAGGGATGACACAGGTGAGCCTGAAGTCCCAAATCCAGGAGCCCAGTAGCCACAGCACTAAGAGCCAGACCACATTGTCAGTTAAGATGGCTCCCCCATGCATGAATCAGGGAACCCAGGAAAGTTCTGGAAATGCAATGTCACTGTAGTCACCTCTGAGAACTCTGGGAAGAAAAGTATGGGCCCAGAGGACCTTGGTAGGTCATGACCCAGAGGTACTCTGGGGTGTTAATGGCCACTCTCTTCTTCTTCTCCACTAATGGGATATCAGGGGGAGAATCCATTGGTAAGAAACCTCTAGACCTTCCAAACAGTCTTCAAAGATGTAGGAAAGTAGCACTAACCCTAAGTTCTAGAGATAACCACAGTGCTTTGTGCAGGGCCCTGGGAGGCAAGAGACCATGTTGCCCTATTTCCCTGGACACAGAATCTTGCCTCTCTGCACCTATCTGTGAACGATGTCATCCAGCAGGATGGTTGTGAGTTCTGTGTGACAGCAACTAGCATGGGTCCACCTGGCACCTGGTCAGGGAATGTCTGTGCCTTTCTTCCTTCCCTTGACCATGGTCAAGAGTGTTGGCCATTTCCCAGTGATCTTCCTGGGGGGACGGGGAGGGGCTCCGGGACATCATCTGGAACTTCCTTCCCTCAGCCTGGCAGCCCCATGAGGGCAGGCCCTTATCCGAGAGTTATCATAATCCACGGCTCTGGGACCCCATACATGGGAAACACTCGGCGCACTTGTTTAAAAGGCAGATTCCTGAGCCCAGCCCAAAGGTACAGACTCCTCACTGAGTTTTAACAAGGCTTTCCAGTGAATGCCGCTCCCTGAGATTGGGATCTCTGTGCCAGAGGACCCTCTTACCTCCTGTCAGGCTTGGGAAGTCTGTAAGTGCACTGACCGCAGATAAAAGGTCCCAGTTGAGAGAAAAACAAGAAGGGAAAGGAGCTCAGCTTCCACCAGTAGAGGGTGCAGTGAGCCTTCAAACCACCAGGGGACCACCCCCACCTCCCCACCAACCCTGACAAGACACCCACCCCCCATCCCCAGACCTAAAGGAAGGGATTTCCGATGGTCCTCCCAAGGGCCACACTTAGACCGGCAAACATTTGCATGCTGCTTGACAACTATATACTTCTTATCGAGCAATTTCACAGGCTGCCAGCACTTAGCTTTTCTATTTTTCTCTTCCACCCACCCTATCCATCAGCCCAGGCTCTCCCTTGACAAGAGGGCGGCAGGGAGAGAGAGGACAGAGTCAGAATCAGGAGCTCAAAGGGACCTCAGAAACCCTCCCTAGCTCAGCTCCTCCTCTTCTCGAACAGGAAACAGCCTTGGGGAGCAGGAAGGATGGGTCCAGGGTATGGGGAGCAAAGTGCTGGCGGGTGAGGTCCCACACGATGTCTGTTCTGATGATGTTCTGAATGTTCCCTGTAGGAAAAGGAACCTTTCCCTAGATGAGGGCCCTAAGCTAGTAGTTAAAGTGATTTCCTCCCAGATGACAGTTCCAAGAGTACTAGAACTGCTAGTTCTAACCTTGGGGGCCCCATGTAGTCAGGAATGTGACCCTCTGTCTGTTACACAGAGTCGTGGCGACTTAGCTTCTGCCTGAGATGAGACACCAGGACAGCCCAGCTGCTGTCATACGTTTGGGAAGCTGGAGGCCGAGAGAAGGGCTTGTGGGGAGAGGGGTCCTGCTTCTTGTCCCTTCCCTTGGAGGGAAGCAAGCAGCAGGGAGAGGAAAGGGCTCATTAGCAGCCTGACTATGAGGCCCTGGGGAACGGGAGGCCCAGTCCTAAGGCCACTCTGTGTTTCTTCTAAAGGTTGGGGAAGGAATAGGGTGATCCCGCTGGGTCTCCCGGGGCTTTCCTTACTTTACGTGCTGGGTCATCAGGCACTCGGGAGAGGAGCGTCCCTGGGGCGCAGCCCCACGTGCTTGGCTGGCTCCAAAGACATGCAGAGGGTGGAGGCAGGGGTGGTGACCAGCCGAGTCCTCCACCAAGCAGGGAACTGGCTGCTGAGAGACTTCGGGAAGGTGGCAGGAAGGGACGAGACAATGGGCCTTTCGTTTCTATGGAAACACTTCAGGGTGAGGGGCTGAAGGGAGCAGAGCTCCCACCTCCTCCACAGTCAGGACTTGGGAAATGGCCTTTTTTGTGGTCGGGCCCGCCCCTCCCTCACCCTGCCCTGCCAGGTGTTCACCATGGCAACCCTTCCTCCCAGCAAGAGGGGTAAGTGGCAGAGCACCAGGTGCTGGGGGAGCCAGGGAGCCCTGTGGGAACCCAACTGGGGGCCACCACCCCTCCCTGAGAGGTCACAGGTTAGAGTCCCAACCCCACCACCACTTCCTGTGTCCTGAGACCACCGAGTGCACCTCTCGGAGCTCCTACCAGCCACCTCTGTGGTGGTCGTGAGGAAAAAGTGAGAGAGAAAGCATCTCGTGAAGGGCCTGGCACATGGAAGTGCCCAAGAGACGCTTCCTGGTCCAATGGAGGTACAGCCCTGGCACCCCTATGTCCCAGATTCAGAGACTCCCAGGCCTGTCCTAACTTGGACAAGCACAGGCGGAGCGCGCCAGGTTCCGGGGCCAGCTGGGCAGGCAGCGCAGGGGAAGGTGGTTGTGACCCTTGCTATCAAGCCATTATCAGGTCAAAGCTAGGGCTGTGGGGGTCAATGGAGATCTGGAAGCACTCAGATACCCCAGCAGCACCTGCCTGGCCGGGGGAGGCCGGTCGCACCGGGGCCGAGCCTCACAGCCACGAGAGAAATCCCTGCACAGAGACCCCTTCCACTCGGAGGTCCTACCGTGAGGAAAGGCCCCGGAAGCAGCCCCGGCTGTCACCACCCACCTTCAGAAAGGCCTGCTCCGGAGAAAGAGACAGAGGCCCAGACCTCTAGGGAGTCCCAGAGAGACAGCCAGAAAGACGCCACCACCAGGAACACGCTCTCCCGAAAGTAAGCAGCAGGACAAACACCACAAATAAGCACAGGGAAGAAGCAAGTCACACTATTTACAACAGAAATGAGTAAAGTGGGTCAGGGCGTGGGTGGGGTTCAGGCAAGGGTGGGGTGTGTTTGAGCCAGGTGGACTGTGATGACAGGTGATGTGGCAAGGAACAGGTTTTCTAGAACGAGCCCTCGACTCAGAGGCAGAGGTCAAGACTGGGTCAGGCCACTCAGCCGCTCTGTGTCTGTTTCTTCACTGACAAAGGAGAAAGTTTCTAGGCTTTTGGTAGCAGGAACCAGAGCTCTCAGATGACTCCGTGTCCAGCACTGTTCTGAGCACCTTACAGCCTCAGAACAGCTGAGCAAGGCAGGTACCCTTCTCCTCTTTATTTTTAAGATTTATTTATTAGAGAGAGAGAATGAGAGAGAGCGAGCAGGAGAGGGGGAGAGGGAGAGAGAGAATCTTAATCAGGTTCCACGCCCAGCAGAGCCCCACTTGGGAGCTCGCTCTCAAGACCCTGAGATCATGTTCTGATCTGAGCTCAAGTCCAAGAGTCAGACACCAGCCAATGGAGCCACCCAGGCACCCCGTCCTTCTCTCCTCTTAGAGAAGAGGAAGTGAACTTGGACCTGCCGGAGCAGGATGGGAACCGGGGGCCTGCGGATCTCAGGGCTCTGGCTCTCTGCACGCCAGCAGGCAGCCTTTCTGCAGACAGGAGGCAGCGCTCCGGGGTGAGGACAGCCAGCCTGGGGGCACGGGGCCGTGGGTGGAGGGAGGGCTCACCTGAGATGTCAGCACTGGAGCCCTCTTTGGGCCTCTTCCCCGTCACAAACTGCACCTCTGTGAAGGTCTCGGTGGAGAGGGAGCTGCTCACGCCGTTGGGTGCCATGGGACTCTTGGACCGCCGGCCGAAGAGCCTCCTGCTGAAGCGCCTGCTGTCCTTGGCTGCGGCGGCCTCCCCGTTGGCAGCCTCTCCCTTGCTGTTCCGGACCAGCGCCTCCGCGGGTCTGGGCTTCAGGTCCACGTGCAGGTGAGAGACCACCCGGCCGCCCTTCCGAGCCAGCTCTCTGGAGGGCACGGGCTCCACGGGGGGCAGCACCTGCTCCAGCGTGACCAGGTCGTTCAGGAAGCTCTCCAGGCGCCGGGCCGCCTCCCCGCCGCTGCCCCCCTCCTGCTGCTCCTTGGGGTCTCGGCCGGCCTCCCGCTGCTGCCGGACCGCCCAGCGCATCATCTCCCCAGGGGGCTGGCGGCTGCCGGACACCAGGGTGTACTTGGGGTTGATGAGCCTGCGAGCCACGGTGGAGGAGTGGTTGGGGCTCAGCCTCCCGGCACCCTCCGCCAGGTTCAGCTGCTGGTGCAAGTTCACCTCCTCAGAGATGGCATACAGCTCCCGGAACAACAGATCGAAGGGCTCCACGTTCTGCCCTGTGAGGAGGAGGAGAAGGTTCCTGTCCACGTAGGAGGAGCTCCAGGTGAACCTGGGAACGTGGGGACAGAGAAGCATGACACGTAGGCCCAGCCTGCGGCAGCCCCCGGCCATCCCAGCTCCACAGCCCGCTGCCCCCACCCCAACCTCATCTCCCACAGAGGCCGGAGGCCTTGCTGCCTGGTGGAAGGGGCCTCCTGGTCCCACTTCCTCCCTGTTTCTCAGGTCTTGGCCTCAAATGCAGAAAGCAGGCGAGGGCATGAGAGGGCAGGCCTGGATTCCCACCTGGTTTCTACCCTTGGAGGCCTTGAAAAGTGGGGCTCAAGGAGCACACAGCCACAAAAGTGGGGTGAGGCTCACGTGCGACACCAAAATTTTAGCTCTGTACGTGGCACACACACACACTGAGTAAATGGGGATGGGGCTGCTATTACTGTGTTTTTTTTTTTTTTAAGATTTTACTTATTTAGTTGAGAGAGAACGTGCACACAAGCTTGGGGGAGGGGCAGAAGGGCAGAAGCAGGCTCCCCGCTGAGCAGAGAGCCTGATGCCGGGCTCCGTCCAGGACCCCAGGATCATGACCGGAGCCAAAGGCCGATGCTTAACCCGCTGAGCCAGCAGGCGCCCCCGCTGTTACTGCTAATACGGCTCTTCTCGGAGTCTTTGGAGCGCTCCGTGTCTGCAAATCCTGCACTTTAGCCACGTCCGAGGGCCGTGGCCACTTACTGATTGTTTCCCGGCCCGGTCTCTCGCCTCACTGGGATTTCAGTTTTCTTGGAGGGCGGAGACTGCAGAGATGGACTTTCTCATATTCCTAGTAACTGACTTCCGAACTGGAATTGGGACACATTTCTTTCACACCACATCCTTACATTTCTTTTTTTTTTTTTTTGGCATATGAAAATTTATTTCTGTCATGTTGTCACCATCAAAACTTAGGATCTTGGGTTTCCTTCTTGCTTTTGTATTAGGCGAAAAGAGAGACATCGGCTACTTTGACAACCTTAAACTGAACGCCAGGAACGTCACTGAGAGCGTGACCTTTGTGGCCAAATCCAGCAACCAGAACCTCATCATTCTCCTCGGTAAAATTCAAACCACCATCCTTGGGTACAAAGGCTGCGACTTTTTTGCCGTTCTTGATCGGCTGGACCTTGACATGTTTCCTGACGGCAGAATGTGGCTGCTGGGCTTCAAACCCTGCTTTTCCGAGTACGATTCCCTTTGCACGGGAAGCGCCTCCAGACGCGTTGGCCCCCAGGGCTATGCCCAAAGGGACCTTCTTATACCATTTATTGTGCCACTTCTGATCTCGCAGGCCATGGAGCTTCCTGGCAGTATGAAAACTAGGACCATTGTCCTTCCTGCTGGCACCACAGGCCTGAGTGAAAGTGACCACACCCTCCCATTTCTTTCCCAGTTTGGGTCCATTCTGCTTCCTGACTGTCCCCCCAACGACTAGCCTCACAATGCAAGCAGCTGCTATGGACCATGAAGGTCAAGCTGTGCTTAATGCCCGGGAAGAGTTGACCCCCCTTCTGGAGTAATTCAGTAGCCAGAAATTTGGAGGACAGGGACTGGCCAGGAGGCTCTTCCCTGCCATTAGATCCAAGAACCCGTCTTAGACCCATGACCACGGGGGGCTCCAGTCCTGAGTCTTCCTGACCATGTAATTTGTTACCCCAAGTAAAAGCCTCTGAGTCCTTCTCTGACCTGGCCCAACTCACCTGTAAGATCCTGTGGCCACTTTGTCACCATCTACCATTAGGAACGTTGATGACAGGGTCCCCTTGATCTTCCCCATGGGCATGTAGAAGCCAACACCTGTTACAGAGCGGACACGGATGTTCTGTTGAGAAGAGTGGAAAGGCACTGTCACTCATGAGACTGGGAGCCAAGTTTTGTGTGGGCAGAGAAGGAACCCTTTTGTCTGTGGAGCCCTGCCTGTTGGTTCCCGTCTATGCTAGACTCTACTTCCCACAGGTGTAGAGGTAGAACCCCATTTGGAGAGCAAGAGAAAGTTAGCAGATCTTGCTTTGAGCATAGATGAGCCCAAGGTGGTTCCTGCCTGCTCCTGAAGCTCCCCAGAAGAGAACCATAGCCCTAGCTTTGATCCTGACAGTGACTCTGCAGGGTGAGCACCCCAGGACTGGGCCAGAGCTGCCTCAACCTCAATAGTATTGAGATAAAATTTAAGCTGGGCCTGTAAGTTAGGGTTATCAATTCTCAAGGCAAGGTTTTAGACAGAAAGAAAGGTGTTGAACTCTTGCCCGAACTGGGCAGAGGATGGGGGCAGAGGCAGCCTCCATCTCATCTCTTGCCCCTCTTCCCTCCACCCTCCACCCCTACCCCAGTGGTACAACTTACCCGAATGCGGAAGTCAGTTAGCTCTAGGCCCTGACACATTTCCAAGAAAAACTTCACGCCTGCCTCATCCAGGATGATATACACCGGGACCCGGCGCTTAAAGGCAGCATCCACAATGTCTTGGAAGATATCGCTGTCAGTGAAGAAGTCCATGACCACCGCAATGACCTGGGTGGGGAAGGGCGACTAGTGAGGTATGGGGTGACTCTGTCTCTGTAGTGATACACTGTGGCCCAGAGAGGACTAGCTGGGCCTATGTAACCAGAGGCCAAGAGCCAAACACCCCATCTGCACCATTCCTGGGCTCTCCACATCCCACCCAGCTCTGAGCACATCTGAGCCCGGAGATGGGCTCTCTGCCCTGAGAAATGCCTGGGGGTCCAGGCAGGCTATGCTCTTTGTGCTTCATCCTTGATCAATCCCCACTACCCCACCCTGGGCATTCTCTAACAGCTCTTCACAAGCCGCGTCAGGGAGATCTAGGAGGTTGAGGAAAGTTGGTCCTAGTGGCCCCGGGAAACAAGTAGGCTCAAGAAGAGGAAGTCACTGAGAAGCATGGGATGGACTAATTTTCACCACCTGCAAATCTGCTCAAACCCCTTTCTCTGCCGGCCTGGGTGCTTTGATATCCCTAGAGCTGTGCACGGTCCCGTCCTCCCGTTGGCGCGGATTCAGGTAGAGCTCCAGGGAGCTCAAACTCTCCTGGCCTCCAGGTGGCCGGGTCATCTCACACCACCCTCAAGTCAAGGTCACTGCCTAGGACCCTTGGTTTCTAAAAGCATGTCCTGAAGCTCTGTCTTGGAAGGTGAGGTTTTCAGCTTGAGGCAGATCTGCCTTTCTGACCTTAGCTTCTTCATTTTCCTATGCAAACCTTCGTCTGCTCCAGTGGCAGGGTTTTCTTGCAGGCCCCAAGCATTGTGCGTGTGATGCAGAGCAAAGGGCATGCTTTGGGGTCAACGGATCTGGTTATATCGACTTCCTATGTATGTGACCTCAGGCAAGTCACTTAACCTTGGTGAGCCTCTGCTTCCTCATCTGCAAAGTGGGGATACCCTTTACCCTGTACTTTCATTTTGCCACTGAGATTAGATAACATCTGTAAAGCATCAAATACAATGCCTGGCATGCAGGAAGTAATAAATAAATGGTAATCACTGTACAGTTGAGGGCTTCTGTTAGCTGTTGCCACTGGAAGCCTGAACTCTGAAGTCAGACAGACCAGGCCTGGTAGACCAGCTCCACCGTGGACTCACCAGTACCCCAGCTAGTAACAGGACCTATCTCAAAGGGCTGTTGTGAGGGCTTAGGGAGACAAACCATGAGAGCACTGAGCACAGTGGTAGGCTCAACAGTGGTATCCTCCATCCCCACTACCCTCACACATGTGCTCTACCCTCCCCCTGCCTCTAAAGAACCCCCCCTCCATTCACGCAATATTATTTACGACTGTTCTTGGCTCCCACATTTCATACTCAATCATCCATACAAGTTAAAATTTACTGGGTCCCAGAAGCAGAGGGGGGATCTATAGACAAACTTTAATCCCTAACTTCAAGGGGTTAATCCCATTGGAATGATAAGCCATTTGCACTAAGTAAGACATGAGGCAAAATGAGATAAATGCTTTAAGAGAAGTACAAGTGATCTGTGAGGTGAGTTCAAAGTCGGAAGGGGGTGTGGGAGGATGGGCAGCAGGAGGGAGGGAGACTGAATGATTGCTTCTAGCTAGAGAAGAAATTCTTAAGAAAGGCTTCATCAGGGAAGCTAACACCTGAAGAATGGGCAGCCTCCGGGGCCAGGAGAAATGAACAGGGAGGAAAACCGAGCCGGCAAGTGGGCGGGGCTGCCATGCATGGGTATGCGGGTTGTGCACTGCACATGGGCTCTGGGCTGAGGGGGTGAGTGATAGATATGCCTGCCTGAGGAAGGGATAGCTTTTTCTAATCTGAACACCGCATCCACAGGGGCTAGCAGAAGCCTATGAGGCAGGTGTTTCTGGCAAAGAACACATCGTAAACAAAGGCACTGAAGACAGGGACTAACAGGTACCACACGCTTTCCACGTGCCCCACACTGAATTTTCCAATTTGATCCTCAAAATAAGGAGGACTGTTCTCATTTTACAGATGAGGAAGTAAATGCAAAGGGGCTTAATGAAGTGCCCAAGGTCTTACTTAACATGTAGCAGAGCAGGGATTTGAACTCAAGTCTCTCCGACTCTGTAAGGTATTTTAGAAACATCATATCAAAAGCTGGTTCTTTAAAAAGACCAAAAAAGATAGACAAACTTCTGACAAGGCTGACAAAAACAGGGAATGCAGATAAAGTGCTGAGTAAAAACAGAAATAACCACACACATATTTACTTTTTAAGAAATCATATTATTTAAGAAATAGTAAAAACGACAAAAAAAATATTAGGACTATTTACATACTGATGAATTTGAACGTGAGAATGACATAGTTAAGTCATTAAAAGCAAATTAAACATAATACAGAATAATCCTGTAAGGTTTATTCTGGAAATACAAGGATGATTAATCTGTTCTTTTAATTTATAACATTTATGGGGTCAAGGTGGAGAAATCATATATTATTTTAATAGGTTTTTTAGAAGTATTTGATAACATGGGGCACCTGGGTGGCCCAGTGGGTTAAGTGTCTGCCTTCGCCTCAGGTCATGATCCTAGAGTCCCAAGATGGAACCCTGTGTTGGGCTCCCTGCTCAGTGGGGAGTCTGCTTTTCCCTCTGCCCCTCATCCCGCTCATACTCTCTCTCAAATAAATAAATAAATAAATAATATCATTTTAAAAAAAGTATTTGATACATGAGATCCCTATTTGTGATTGAAATTCTCAAAAAAACTAGCAATAGAAGGGACCTTCTATTCCTTAACTTGATAACAGCTATCTATAAAAAACCCACATGAGGGGCGCCTAGGTGGCTCAGTGGGTTAAGCCTCTGCCTACGGCTCAGGTCATGATCTCAGGGTCCTGGGATCAAGCCCGCATCAGGCTCTCTGCTCAGCGGGGAGCCTGTTTCCTCCTCTCTCTCTCTGCCTGCCTCTCTGCCTACTTGTGATCTCTGTCAAATAAATAAGTAAAATCTTAAAAAAAAAAAAGCAACCCACATGAAACATACTGAACAGAAAAACGTTAGATGCATTCCCTTCAAGTCCCAAGAATGTCAATAATACTTTCACCATTGCTATGGTAGAAAAAGTACTGGAGGTGCTGACCAATGCAATATGACAGACAGAGAGACACGAATGAGAAGAAACAAAACTACCAGTATTTGGAGACGATTTTTAATTTTTTTAAGTAGGCTCCATGCCCAGTGTGGAGCCCAACGTGGGGTTGGAACTCATTATCCTCAGATCAAGACCTGAGCTGAGATCAAGAATCAGCTGCTTAACAACTGAGCCACCCTTAGAGATGTTATTTTTAGAGAAAACCCAGTAAAATGTAGATGAACATTATTAGAATTAACGGGGGAATTTAGCAAGATAGCCAGATACAAGAAAAACTAACAAAGGCCAAGAGCACTTTTATACTACAGTAGTGATCAACTTAAAAAGGGGGGTGGGGAGAAAAAAATAAGATCAACATTGCAATTTTAAACACATAGGATTTAAGAATTAATATCTTTATTGAGAAATTTAGAAATCTCTATTCAAGGATATTTTAAAATATGTGAATAAATGAAGAGATAAATTGTGTTCATGGATAACACGATTCAATATTTGAAAAATCAAATTCTCACCATATTAATAAAATTCAATGCAATTCCAATGAAAGTCCAGTCAGTATTTCTGAGGAACCCAAATAATTCTAGGATGTAAGGAAGGATACAGATCTACAATAGCTAAGTCAATTTTGAAAAAGAAAAACTGAGAGGCACCTGGGTGACTCAGACAGTTAAGTGCCTGCCTTCGGCTCAGGTCACGATTTCCCAGTTCTAGGATCGAACCCCGCATTGGGCTCCCTGCTCAGCAGAAATTCTTCTTCTCCCTCTGCCTCTTCCCACTGCTTGTGCCTGTTCTCTCTCTCAAATGAATAAATAATCTTTAAAAAAAAAAAAAAAGGAAAAGAAAAGCTGAGAGGTGACACTTTTCCTACCAATAGTAAGACATGCTGTGGAGCCATAGTAATAAGATTGTGGTACTGAGGCAGGAAGGAAATGAAAAACAAACCAGTGAACAGAACTATGTACCATAAACATATAGAACTTAAAGTCTGACAGAGGCAGAATTACAACTCAGTGGACAAAGGATGTTGCTTAGCAGATGTAACTGGGATACTGGGTTACTCGAGAGAGAGAAAGGGTATCCCTGCCTTACACTGTATATAAAGGTGAATTTCAGGTAGGTTAAATACCTAAATGTGAATGATAAAACTAATAAAGGAATTGATAAGATAGGATTTCTTAAAAGTCTAAAAGCACAAGTTGTAAGGCAAATGAAATTAAAAAAATAATGCATTTGGGGCACCTGGGTGGCTCAGTTGGTTAAGCGTCTGCTTTTGGCTCAGATCGTGATCCTGGAGTCCCGGGGTCGAGCCCCACGTCAGGCTCCCTACTCAGCAGGGAGTCTGCTTCTCCCTCTGCCCCTCACCCACTCACGCTCTCCTCTCTCTCTCTCATAAAAATCTTAAAAAAAAAAAACAAAAACCAATGCATTTGACAAATTAGGGATTTTCTGTTCAAAGGAGGATGCTGTAGATAAAGGCAACTGATTGACGACAGAGAAAAGATATCTGTAATGTCTACAACCAAATGGAATTAATAATATACAAGGGATCCCTGCGAACCAGCAAGAAAAAGACAGGGAGCTAATTAGAAAAATGGGCAAAGAATATGAATAGGCGACTCCGAGAGGAGATACCTGAATGGCTAATAAGTATAAAAAGAGAAGCAGACCTCATTAGTAATCAGAAAAATTCAAATTAAAGCAAAGTGATAAGAGAGAGATACCACCTTACAACTGTAATATTCACTAAAAATGTGAAAGCTGGCTAATCCCAAGTACTGGAATGTGAGGGCAGGGGAAGCCGCGTGGGCGGCTGGTGGAGAGAACACAGGTGCCGCCATTCCCTTCAGCAGTGGGCAGAGCGTGGTGGATTTAAGAATGTGCATAACTCAACTCAGCAATGCCGCTCTTGGCCGTGCAC